TTGTGTGCTGCTGTTGAAAAGTAACATTCTGCAGTTTTCCTAAGAACAAAACATCCTGTTGAAGGATGGTGCCCCAGGAAAGGAATTGACACTTGACATCCCATTGCCCCCCAGTTGAGTTCCTGTTTTTTCCTGAGTTTATGTTTTTCCTTCCCTGGCTTGGTGTATATATTGAACCTGCCCAGTAAAGGCATTGGCATTCTCTCATAATGGATGACCAGAGTCTGAGTCTTTCTTTAATCCCCCAGACCTACGCCCGAGCTCAGTACCGCGGGCAGCGCCAGAGCTGTCATCCCCCCCCCCCCTTAAGAATTGTGGACTTAGCCGGGCAGTGGTGGCACATGCCTTTAATCCCACCACTTGGGAGGCAGAGGCAGGGAGATTTCTGAGTTTGAGGCCAGCCTGGTCTACTGAGTGAGTTTCAGGATAGCCAGGGCTACACAGAGAAACCCTATCTCGAAAAAACCTAAAACAAAAAAGAAAAAAAAAAGAAAAAAAAAAGGAATTGTGGACTCCAGTGAGTTCCTGACCTTGTTGGCCTCCATAGAAAGGGGTGCGATCTGGTGTGGTTCTTAGTTCCACGGGCCTGGTTGACCTAGGCCTGGTCTCAGCCAAAACCCAAAGACTTAAGCTTTCAGTCACTGTTCTTGTCAACATGGTTGCTCATCCATGATCTCCACATCCTCCCTGGACCTAGAGGAGGGATCAGGACTGTGTGAGGCTCACCAATGAGGTCAGAGATTGGTAGCAAAGACACAGAGGCATGTACTGCTGAGTTCTATGAAGCAGAAGGTTTACTTTCTGAACCATTAAGCCTGTGCTTAGTAGCTTCCTAAGTCAGTGAGCCATCATCCCTGGCCTCACATGAGTTTTTATGGGGTCCCCTGGGCTGCTGGGGATATCTCTGCACTTGGCCTTGACACCCCTGGCCAGATCAGAATTCCTGCTCTTGATTGGTTTCCTGAGGCCTACCAGGAGCTCTCCTCATGGCTCTGACTCCCTGGAGCCCAGAGAGGGGCCTGTGTGTTGGGGTAGGGTGGACAGTCTCGCATCCAGATCTGACAACGGTGATCCCAGCTCTAGTCCATGGCTCCTCTTAGAATCGTACATGTATTTGTGCCCTAAATGAATAGTCTGTCGTACCCACATTTCTATCCCCTGGAGCTGGACTCTCCCTCAGGTACTTCAGATGTGGGGTACTAAGTGTGGGGTGGAGGCTGACAGGAGGAGGGGTACCTGAGGAGGAGTGAAATGTCTTCTGAGATCTGCCACGGCATTTTGAGCCCTGTGTAGCTGGAGGGTAGAGAAGGAGTGAGGTAGAAGGGGTGGAGCCAGCAGGGTGGGCGGGGCCAGATCACCAGGGGTCTTGCAAGCCATATACGGATGTGTAGCTTTATTACAAGAGGGTTGGGGAATATAAAAGGTTCCCTTGTGAAGAGTGTCATCATCAACACCCCCATCCTCACCATCCTCACCACCCTCACCAACCGTCAGCATTTCTGCCATCACTGCCATTGCCACCATCATCACCACTGTCATTGTCACTGGTGACATTCACCATCACGGATGACATCCACCACTACAGATGACACTGGCCATCACAGATGACACACACCATTACAGATATATCCATCACAGACTGCTCTCAAGTGTGTACCAGACCTTGTCCTAAACACTCTCCTACATGAACCCTGTTGCCAGTTTTCTGAGTTGATTGCTGCCGTTGCTGTTCCCATTTTACAGCTGACGTAAAACAGACAAGAGTCAAATGGGCGCCCAGGGCAGAACCAGAACGGGACTCCACATCTCTCCGACTCTGAAACCTGAGCTCCCGAGAGCTGCTCCTCCTGGTCACAGCCTCCTGGGACTGTAGTCTTGAGATATGCTGTTGTCTAGAGTGAGGAATGGGAACTCGGAGATACCTACCAGTGGAGGGAGAAGCAGTAGGTAAACCAAGATGGCCGGTCATAAAGACCCAGGAAACAAGGAGGAGCAGAGTCCAAAAGGGATGCTTCCGCACTCGGGGATGCACATGACAGAGTTCAGTGAACACCGAGCTTCAGGTTTCTGGACTGGACAGATGGGTGTGTGACTAAGCAGTGCTGTTCGTGGATTCTCAGAATGAAGTCTTGTTTGACGAATGACTGGAAATATGGAGAGCAGATGTGGGACCCCAATGTGATGCAAAGATTCCCGTCTCTGGGAAGACAGGCTCTGGCTTTTTAATCCCCGTATTGTACAGGATGCTCCTGATATGAGGTGAAGGTCAAATGGAAGTGTTTTATGGACCTGAGCGACTAGACTTGGCCATCTCTGACACTGATAGGAACATCTGAACGAGGCTCGGTAATGAGCTGTCTGTGGAGTAAAGTAGCATGGCGGGAAATGCTCAAAATGCATTTTCTGAAAAGTCCCAATGCTATTTGTTTAATATATTTATGGATATTTCAGTGCATATTAATAAGTGGACAAATTGAGTGTCCTGTGTTGTGTGTTGCTCCCAGCCCACGCCACCGTCTAACTCATACATAAGGGACACACAATTGCAAAAGTTCTGAGCCCATTGGTCTTTTCCATGACAGAAACCTTGGGAACTGAACACGTCCCTCATCGCCCAAGGCTTTCGACAACCAAAGCCAGTGTCCCAGAGACAGAGCTCAGAGGTTCAGGAAGTTTGACACAAAGAAACACTGCAAAACTCATCTTTACTCCAGTGCACAGAAGAGTTGTGTGCTTACACAGAGCGCTCCTCCCTCATCGGCACTCTGGCCTCGTCCTCTGCACGGTACAGAGCTCTCAGCATCTTTCACTGGACACGATTTCTCATCAGGGTGTCGATACAAAGCACAAGGGGGCTTCCCTCCCGCACACCTGCTTGCAGATGCTGCAGTGACCCAGTTCTGGATCGTTCAGTCACTCTGTGGGGCCCAGGCTGTGGCCAGCTGTGTTCCTCACACCCATAGCCCACTGACTCCTCCTCTGAGGACGAGACCCTGCTTCTCCTTCACAGTATGGGTGTGGTTGGCTCCATTTAGCCCTGAATCCTAGCATTCTCGGCCTATGTTATCTGTTTCCTTCTTTTGGCCACAAGTGTTCTGTGTGCTTGTTGGAATAGGGTCCGAGAGAATGGGTTGGAGAAACAATTTCCTGAGATCCTCTCTGTTAGGAAATTCAAAGTCAGATTGGTCAAGATTCATGGGCTTTTTGCCACGTAGGCTTTCCCTTGGCTCCAGCCTGGCCAGAAACACCAGTGAACTCTGCTCATTTCCTGAGTCTTCATAGCCCCTTGGCTATTGAGTGGTCAGCTCCTAAGTGGCTTGGTGTTAGAGGCTGTTTGATATTCTCCTCATCTATCCCCAGGGGCTTGACATAGTGTTAGCCACAGGGGCCAGCCAGTCCATGGTGACATTGTTATAGTTGAGTCTGAAATGCACCTCCCTCCATTCCTGACCGCTGGGCCCATTTTGGAAAGTGATGGACCCTTTAGAATGTAGGACCTAGTAGGTGAAAAGTCACTAGGGGCAGACATTTGAAGGTCATATGCCCTCCCGGTTCCAGCCGTGTCTCCGTTTACTGGTCCCCTCTGAAGTACGATGCTTTTGTCAGGTGCTCTGTTTACCATACAGTCCCTGGTTCACAGGAGCGAAGCCCTTTTTTGACTCTGAGAGTCAAAATAACCCTTCTCTCTCCCTTAAGTGGCCTCTGTCGGGAAGTTTGTCACAGGTCCAAGAAAAGTAACCGATACAGACACATGGAAAAATAAATTCCCATGGAAGATTCTGGAACTACGAGTATGGTGTCTGTCACTCAAGTCTCTGGCAGGGTTGCTGGGGCAACTGTCTCTACTGATGCCTGAGCTCACCCAAGGCCCCTGGAGTAGGTTGTGGGAACCCACTGGCCCTGAAGCCATCCAGGAGGCTATCCTTGTATCTCTGGTGGAAGACCTGCTCAATATGTTGGTGTGCTGCCTCACCCCCAAGGTGGTTGTGGTTCTCATGTCAGAGTTCCCAGGACTGGGCAGCTCCACCCACCCCTGCCATCACTCGTGAAACACCCTGCGGCCATGTAGGGAGCTGGGCCCGGAATCAACGCCCCTGGGTAAAGTGACCTTCTGTGGATGGGTCAGCTCTTGGTAGCATCCCTTGCTTTGTGAGCCTCTCCTAAGTAAACCACTAATTGGCAGCCCTTGGTCACTGAGACAGGGACCCTGTGAAGCAGCTTAGACTCTCCTGGACAGCTACCAATTTGCAGCTAGGCTGTGAGGTGTGGATTCCCCGGGCAGCAGAATTGTTTTTCTTTGTGCTAGTTGCAAAACAATCACTTGCTGTCTCCCGCCCTTCTCCGTGTAGCTAATGCTTTGTTGTGTGTGTGCACAGGGATGGGATTCTAGGAGGGAAAGGTAGAAGGGAGTGAGGGCCTTAGATACCTGCAGGCAGGTCCTGGGCCTTCCAACACCGAGTATTCCCACAGAGTAGCTCTTCAGCCTGAGTGGCTTTCTTCATGCCGAGGGTCTGCATGTGACGCGTGTTCTGATGAGTCTGCATGTGATGCGTGTTCTGATTCGTCTCCATGTGATGCGTGTCCTGATGCATCTCTGTTTGATGTGTGTTCTGATATGTCACAGCCACATAACACCCCACTTTTCAAAGCACAGGACACCCTCACATTACAGCAGAAGAAGTAGAGGCAGGGATCAGGCTACCATGTCAGGGTTACTGGCTCGCCTAGGCCCCGTGCTCTCCCATCTCCCACAGTTCCTTGCTTTGACATACCATCAGCAGCCCTGTAGGAACTGCAAGTCCTCATCTTTCTCCACTAATGTCAGGACTCCTGTAAGACATTACATATACAATTCGTCCCTCTTGCCCACAGTGTCCAATGCGGTGTATTCAGCAAGTGCTCCATAAATGCTTTGGGGCTCTCCTTTTCTCCTGTCCATCTTGTCCACGGGTGAGAGGAGACACGGAATCTCAGTCTCTGGGCTCTTAGCAGAGACTCTGTAGAATTTAACCTTCAGAAGGCCAATAAATCATAAACCCTTGAAACTGGGAAGTGAGGCAGCCATGCCTACTGTGCATGTAGCCACAGGGCCAAAGCTGGCAGGAGATTTGTCCTTACCCCAAAGGGAAGGAAGCTCTGTCACTCCCATCCCTACCCCACAACCCCTCTATTCATGGAGAATTAGAGCACCAGCCAGTAAGAATAATCCTGCTGTGCTCCAGGGTACCCATTCCCCACAGCATGCTTATGCCATGAGACAGGGCTGGAGTCACCTGCCTGATTCCCTGGGGCTGCCTAGGATGCTTCAAGCTCTTTCTTGAATCCAGGCTGAGAGGCTTGGGTCCCACCAGTCCTCACACACTCGGCAGTAGTTCTGCCTTGCGGCTTCTGTTCACTGTTTCTTCTCTGCCCAGTCCTGCAGCTTGTGGATCTGTCGTTCCACCGAGATAGAGGTCTTCAGAGTCCCCATGGAGTTCTCCATCTGGATGGGTTCTCCCATACAGCCTCCCTTCTGGCATAGTGCCCGGTACACCTCTCGGGACTTCTTCCGGAAGCGCTTGCCCACGATCACATACACCAGCGGGTTGAGGCAGCTGTTGCTGTAGGCCACGTAGGAACTGATCTGTGTGATGACGTCTACGACAGGCACCCAGCATCCCGACAGCACTTCGAGACGCAGCAGCGTGTCTAGGAAGGTGCTAATCTGGAAAGGTACCCAGCACAGCACAAAGAGCCCCAGGACGGCCAGCACCAGCACGGTGGCCTTCCTCTCCGTCTGGACCTCCTTGAACTTCTTCATCTCGTTGTTCCTTAGCACCCGTATGATCCGCACCGTGCAGAAGGTGATAACGCTCAGGGGTAGGAGGAAACCCACCAGGTTCAGCAGCACGTTGGTGAACACCTCCCAGGAGGGGGACGGGTAGGCGATGGCGCAGGCAGTGACATTGTGGCCTTCATCACTGTAGTCCATCATGGTCCTGAACACCAACATGGGTGAACTCAGAAGCAGCGTACAGCCCCAGATCACCAGGCTGTAGAGTTTGGCCCAGCGCACCCCGCGCATGCGGCCCATGGACATGGTCTTCACTAGCGCCAGGTAGCGGTCGATGCTCACGAGCATCAGGAAGCAGATGCTGCTGTAGAGATTCATGTAGATCATGGTGTTCACCACACGACACAGCACTTCTCCGAACACCCAGTCGAAGTTATTGGCAATGGTGATGGCCCAGAAGGGTAACCCGCAGGCCAGGATGAGGTCCGCGGCGGCCAGGTTGCCCAGGTAGATCTCGGCCACAGTGCAACTGTTCTTGTGCAGACAGAACACGCTGAGGACAAAGATGTTCTCCAGTGCGGCCAACAGGAAGAGGACCCAGAGGAAGGGGGCCTGGGTGGCGTTGAGCCAGCTCCACCACTCCGCGTCTAGGCAGTTGTCCTCTGAAAGGGTCCTGTTAAGAGCATACCCGAGGACTTGTGTGGTGACATTGAACATTTCAATGCTGAAAGAAAGGAGAGAAGAGACAGTTGTATCTTCAGGTCACAAGGAGGGGGAAGGGAGGGGAAGACGGGATAGGGGAAGGAGGAGGTGGAGGGCCAGGGAGGAACACAGGAGAGGTGGACCAGAAAGTCTATTGCTCAGCTGATGGCTCCCCTAGGGCAGTGGGGGTGTGGGAGGTGGTGGGACTCCAGTCTCTCTGGGGACAGCACTAGGGGGACCCTGGACTCTCTGGCCCTTTTGTGAGGCCCTCTGCTCATGGGACCAAAGGGACTTAATATTTCTTGGTCTGAGCTCTGTAAGAATCCTTTCCTGGCTACTCTAACGGTTGTGAGTGCCACACCCGGAACCCCTTGAAGCCTCTACTATGACAGGATACGCCCGCTGCCTTCTCACGCCTCTTCCTTGTGGGGCTGTGACCCTTCAGCTCCTCAGAATGGAGTCACAGGTGAGCCATGAATTAGACCAGATCAGAGATGTCATGCCAAGTGGAGAGATTGCAGCCTAGCTCCCAGAACATAGCCGTCTCCATGACAGGCTGTGTCTTCTGGCAGATTTGTGCCCATGCCCGCTGGCACAAAGCAGAGAAGGTGAGTGAAGATTGAATGGGAAGAGGAACGGGGAGGCTTTGGACCAGTCCTCCTGGGGTCAAGTCCTGGCCACTGTATGGCCTTGGACAGTTGCTTACTGTTTCTAGATCCCTAACTAGTAAAGTGGGAATAATATCAAAACATGATTATGAAGATGCACTCAAAAGCCTAAAAGCACACCCAGGACACATGTGATTAGTCACCGTGGGGGTGGGAGTGGGGAATGGGAGGACCCTTCCACTGTGGGGCAGGGGAGAGGAGGCACCAGGCAGTATACGTGAGAAGGCTCTGTTCATCATCCTGGGATTTCTCAGGAAGAGCCCCAGAGTGGCTTCTGGGCTGGTGCTACCCTAGAGCCAGGCTGGAGCCTGTGACTCACGGGTGACTTGGTTTGGATCCTGAGGTGTCTGGAGCCCCTGTAGCTCCCATGTGGTCACCTGTTTTGCTCCTAACGGCCATGGACATCTCTGTGATGAGTCCTGGGTAGGTGGTGATTTCAGGAGGGCACAGACCCAGCGTCTCTCCTCCATCACCACCATCACCACCATCACCATCATCACTGTCATCATCACCACCAGGAATCCTGGAGCTGGTCCCAAAGGCGATTTTAAAAAGCCAGCGGATGGGGAGGAGAACAAGGCGGGCAAGACTGGAGCAGTGACCACCCATCTCAAGTCCATTTTGGGTCACGAAGTGAGATTCAAGTTTGGAAGGTGTTCCCAGGTACGACAGGGATGTGTGTGGAGGGAGATGGGAAGTAGAGAGGGTCTCCACTGTTGCCCTGAGGATGTTATGGAGGGGTCAAAGGGTAAGATGCATCCTCTGGAAAAATGCCTTGCTACAAAAAAAATTCTCTCATGCAATTCCTTCCGGTCTAATTCTTCGTCCCGTGGACGTGGTTGGACTTAGTGAATTTCGGCTGACCCACAGTGGCAAGAGTGACACGTGACTTCCGAGGTGAGGCCATTAAATGCATTGCAGAATCTTCCTGGCCTCACGGAATGGGCTATGGGAAGCCAGACACCCTAGGGTGCAAGGGGAGTCGCCAACCCTACTGCAGCCTGTGTTGTTTCCGTTCTCGTGACTCAGTCTCTTCCAACTGAGCCCGGGCATCATGCAGCAGAGACCAGCCACCCGCAGCCTGCCCTACACTGTGACCTATAGAATAGACTCTTCTTTTGGAATCTTCCAGACATCCTCATTCCAAGCCTTGGCCCTATTTCTGCGGACGGACGTAGGGAGTCCATGTTCTTAACAGCAGCTTGGGGGAGCTATTTGCTCACTGGAGACGCACGCATACCATCAGAGCCATGTGTTATTCATTCTGAGGGCCAGAGCTCTGAGGAAAACCAAGAGCCTGCCTGGCCACTGGGCATTGAGAACTATGGGGACAGTTCTCAGTGGCCTGCTGGGGTGGACATCTCTGCTGCACCTGCCACAAGATGTTGAGGCTAGGCTAGGGTCCTCTGCTGTGCTGCCAACATTGGTCCCTCAGGATGGAGGCCCTGTCTCTGGGCTCCATTCTGAGTCAGTTTCCCCAAGGCTTCCCTTAGTCTTCAGTCTTGCAGCAGATGTCAATTCCGTGGTGACCTGTTTTCACAATGACTTGGACAGCTCACATGCACTGAAGTGTTCTCCTGCCTTCCTTTAGTCCCACAAAAGCCCACTTGGGTGCTCTTGACAGGACCGTGGGGACTAACGTTAAAGCTTTGGTCTTCGAGCCTAACATGAAATCCCCCTTCAACCATGATCCACCACAGGATGCTGCTGTCCTGGAGTCCTAGAGTGACCGACAGTGAGCTGAGGATCCCTTGACTCACCCAAAGGAGGCCGTGGTGGGCATGGGCTCATGCACTGACAGGAGCATGGGTCGTTTCCAAGAACAGGGCATTTGTACCCAGGACAAAGGAGAGTGAGGATCCTCCTGGGGAAATAGAGCAGAGAACGTCATTAGCTGTGACCGTCAAAACACACATATCTGGGCTGAAGAGATGGCTCAAGTGGTTAAGAGCACTGGATGCTCTTACAGAGGACCTGGGTTCGAATCCCAGCACCCACATGGGAGCTCAAAACTGCCTATAACTCCAGTTCCAGGGGATCCAACATCCCCTTCTTGACTCTAAGCCACCACACATGGTATACAGATACACACATTAAAAAAATAATTAACTGAAAAAAAAACCATCCTCCATGAGTATGGAAGATGGAGTCTTGGGCCTTCTCTGGACACACAAATGCTTAACCCATGCAGAATGCAGGCACACACAGTGAATGCAGGTGCATGCTCTATGTCCAGGAAGCTTGCAGGCTTTGGAGAAGGGGAACATGCCACTCAAATAGTCACTAAAGCTTGCCCAACCAACGTCAAATACAAGGCCAATGGCTTGGCTGTGTCCCCAGGGGGCTCATGTGAAAGCCTGGCTCTTACAAAAAGTGAGATCACATGTTCAGTCTGAGCTGTCCTTGACAGGATCATGTTGTGAACACTTGTCCCTAAGGGGTGGAGCTATTTTGGCTTGCCATGAACCTTTAGGGGGTGAGGATTGTCCAGCAGAGGTGGGTCACTAGGGGCATGCCTCTTGAAGGTCATACGCACCCCTGGTTCTGAGTGACTCCCTGCTTCCTGTCTCCTACAATGAGAGGTGTCTTGTCACATGCTGTCACTGCATGACCTGTGCCAAGTCTTCCCCAGACAGACCGAACTGCTGAAACTGAGCCCACCCAAACTCACCTCCGATCAGGTGCTTCTGTCAGGTGTTTTATCCTATCTGGCCTTCACTCTCTGTCCAGGACTCCATGTGACGTGACAGTCCTGCCTGGAGGGTCATGTAGGAAACTGGAGTACATGTATCTATTAGTGGGTGTGCATGCATGCATGTGGGTGTACTACAGATGTCTCACTCAGCAGCCAGTCACTTCTAGAAGCTAGAAGATTCTGGACACAGCAAAAGCACCTAGTTTTAGAAGCCAGGCTCTCCCAGTTCACGTGTGTGTGTGTGTGTGTGTGTGTGTGTGTGTGTGTGTGTGTGTATCAGTGCAGACAATAGCAGGGGAAGAAAATGTATTGGAAGGCACCCAAATGACGCTGGAAGAGGTTTACTGGAACTTTCCAAAGCCAGGGCCAGGACTAGGATCTCAGAAGAGTCTTTCTGCTTCTCTAAAAAGGGAGATTGAGAAAGAGAATCCCCTATTGCTAGCCTTTAAGAGACCCTTCCAGACTCCTTAGAGGGGAATCCAGCTGAGTGTCGAGACACTGCGTTTGAGGCACTAGGTTTAGCATATGCTAAGAATTACCGGGGCTGGGGTGGGGTTCTGTTAGTCATATGCTAGTTATCCAGAAGAACAGAGATGCCTCTTCTGCCCTGGGACTGGCTAGTCTGTGGCTGGGTACAATTCATCTGGACAGTGACAGCTCCTGGAGACCTTGAGCCCTTGGTCTTGGTGGCCCTGGGAAGGTGTCCAATGCCCTCAGTGACTGGTATGGCCCAGTCAGCCCCTGCTTCCAAGATAAAAGCAAAATGTGTGTTCTCTCTTGCCCGACATGTAGCCAGTAGGTGCTTTACTGCCCAGGGGATTTGGCAACTACAGGCTACCCCCCTGCTTCTGTATATCTGGAGGCTGCCTGACTGGGACTCCATTATGGGTTCTCCTGGGCCCTGCTCCAGACTACGCCCTGTTCTCCACTGCCTTGGGCTTGGCAGGCCCCTTGGGACCACTCCTGGGATTCCTGCCATCTGGCTTCCCAGTGGGTCTGGCCAGGGGTACAGTTGGGGATCCTGGCACTCCAATATCTTGGAGTCTTGGGGGCCCTTAGGGTCCAGAGTTTCCAGCTTTCACTAAGAGCCCACTGTCTAAAGGGGAAGAACAAGGAGTGTGGCCCATGGCATCCCAGGACCCCACATGCTCTCTGTACTCTGATGTGAACTGGTTTGTCAACCTCTCTTACGCCACCCGGCCCGAATATTCCTTCTAGGTCCCACTGGGGTCCTGACAAATACAGTTTGGGAGAACAAGTTCAGATACAAGAAGAGTGTTTAAAGAGAACAAGCAGGAAAACTTGGCGCTCATGACAGTGCTGTGCTATGCTGTGCTGTATGTGTTGGCGGGGGGAAGCAGGAGCAGGGCTCTACAGATGCTCATTCTCAGGGATGGGATGGGCCTGAGTTGACTCCTGCAGATGCTGGGAGCTGGGACATCGAATACTCCAATCCTGTTGCACACTCAGTCTGGGAAGCATCTAGGGAGGCAGCCCAGATAAGGCAAGGGGATGGGGGTGGGGAGGTGGAAGAAGAAAGCTTTGCTTTTTGCCTGCTCACTTCATTCATTCTTGTTGGCAAGTTCATCTACTCTGTTGCTGCTGCAGGCTATCACTGATGGCAGTAACCAGCTTTTTGGGGATGTCATACATGGACTAAGAGCCAGAGGCTCTCTGGGAATTCTCCAGGCCTCTAGCACCAGATTGGGACTCCTGGAAAACCGACCTTGAGGTTCTCGGCCTCTTCAGAATGAAGAAACAGGCATTGTTGGACTACCGAGATCATGTTACATAAGCACTCTGAGAAACCTCCCTTTAATATACATTCATTCTGTCTGTTCTGTGCCTCTGGTGACCCCTGACCAACACAGACGTAAAATCCTCCATGGGGCTGTTATCATGAAAGTCAGAGGGGATGAGTCACTCACTGTCAGTCAAGTGCCAGTAATCTCTTGACCAGTAATCTGCTTTCCCAGGACCACCAGGGGGCGCCCTGCTTCAGCTACAGGAACAGGATGGGTCAGGATTGAGGGAGAGGCCCTTCCACTTAGCCTGCTGTCCTGTTCACAGCTCATGTTTCACCCTGATTTCCTATTTGGATGGACACTGATTTCACAGGGGCTGAAGGAAACAGACAGCCTGACGGTCCTTGGAGGAACCACTGAGACTGTTCTTACTGTGTTCCGAGGGGCAGCTCTCCCATATTTCAGCATCTCAGCAAAAACTATGTGTACACACGTGTGCGTGTGTACCTGTGTGCGTCTCTCCGTGTATGTAAAGTGTACAAGTGCGCCCACCACAGGCCACACACTCTTCTCACAGGAGGCCCCTGTCTCCTTGATTTCCTGCTCTCTGTCCATCAGGCCTCAGCCCCTTGTATAACAACAGGGAATCAGTAATTAAACCTCTTCACACCACCAGGCCAGAGCCAGAAAGGACCAGGTCTCCTGAGTCCCTTCCCTGACTCCTCCCAGGATATAAATTTCCCCTAAAGCCAGCTTTGCATGGTTATTGCATCAGGATGGTGTTGATAGACCATCAATCGGTAAACCTCTGGCCAAGGCACAGATGGGGCTGGAGGAGGGGGAGGGGACCTCACAACCTGCAGCAGCCCCTGCAGCAAAGGGCAACCCTGAGCATGGGTTTCCAGGGAACCCTTGTCCTTAAAGGAAGGTCAGAGCCACCTAGGGGTTGGGGTATACATCTGGTTCTCCATTCTCAGAACTCCTTAAAAGTCAAATCAGACGCCGGATCCAATACTAGACACGTGCCTGTGGGCCGTCCCAGCATCTGGATACTTTCTGGTTTTAGAATGTTCTGGAAATATTGCTAAAGGACAGAGGGAGACTTGAGAGGCGGAGCCCCTCTCCCGTCTTGCTTTCTGTAGGGGAGGCACAAGGCAGGGTGAGCTTGCCTGACTGCTCTCCTTGGACCCTGGGGTGGGGTGGGGCGGGCGGGCGGGCTGACTTAACTCTTTGTCTTTTCTTGTTCACCGTGGCTAGCTGATATGTTTAGAATGTTCCTTTCCCTTCCCACACTGAACTGCACAATTTTGATAGATTTGCAATATAATCTTACCACGCATGTCCTTTGAAGTAAAAATCCTGTCTACGCCATTAGCCCTCTCAGGGACTGCCCGAGTTACTCATAGGCGCCGTAATGACCTTAAAACAAACACAGTGCTTTTAAAGCCATTCTTTTGTTTCGGTCAGTCCCCTTTTGTTGAATGTGTTCTGTAGTGTTCTAGACTCTTAATTCAGTCCTGGCTTCTCCAGACATTATCTATACTCCTAGCTCTGCCTGAAGCCACACACCTCGGTCCGCTGTTCACACTCCTGCTGTCCCGCTGCCTGCCGCCTCCTGGCCACACCCCTCTGCCTGCCGCCTCCTGGCCAC